CACCTTGACCGAGAAACCATGGAGACAGGATATGGAGACTGAGACAATCAACTGGTTTGTCCACCCAGTACCTGCAAATAACTGGCTTTGTCCCACAGACAGAAGGCCCCACCCCACCAGGGACCTTCAATGAGGCTCTTCTGGAATTCTCCCTGGGGCAGAAACCTGAGGCCAGGTAGGGAGGAAGTCCTTCCCCTCAGATGACCGTTGCCATGGGCACAGTCACAGGCTCAGGCTGAGATTTCCCCTCCAGGGCATCAGGCATGGTGCCCTGGGTGAGAAGCCACAGCTGGACGGTCATTTCAAGGACAGTCTTCCTCTGACAGCAGCTTGAAGGGAGGGAGGGCATCTAGGCCTTGGAGCCAGCAGCATCCTAGTAATTCAGGGCTGCCCAGCTGGGGTCCCTGGTGGGGGGGTGGTACTGGGTGTCCACGGAGACAGCTGGAATGTGAGTAAAACTGAGAGGGATGAATAAGCATTTTCTGGAAAGTTCCCTGATTGTCACAGAGGCCTGTGGCCCCCAGCATGTAGATGATGAAGGTTCAATTTTCCCAGCGAGGAAGCAGAGCTTGGGGAGGAGGTGGGGATGGAGTCCAGGACTGGGGGGGAGACAGCCCCTTTCTGAGTCCAGGAAAGGGGTGTGTTCAGATCCTGGCTAACAACTTTTCAAAGTACCTCCAAAGTCTGCATCACCACACAATTGGCCCCTTTCACCGGATTTATCCACCCTCTTCCTCTTCCCTTCTGGTATCCACCTCTCTATTCTTACGGGCTAAGCACTTGTTTTGCCTGATCATTGTTTTACTTTTTTATCTTCCACATATCAGTGAAGTCATACTGTATCTTTCTCCATCTGACTTATTTCAAGCATAATTCCCTCTAGGTTCATGTTGCAAACAGTGAGATTTCATCTTTTTTTAAAGCTGAATAGTATTCCATTGTGCGTGCATGTGTGTGCGCGCGAGTGCGAGTGTGTGCGTGTTGGTCTAACACATATTCCGTGGACCTGTATGTTATAAACCATTGTTTCTTTTTTTTTTTTAAGATTTATTTATTTATTTATTTGTTCATTCATTCATTCATTTATACAAGCACTGGGTACAGTCAGAAGCGCGGGAGGGTGAGAGAATTCACCAGGGCCAGAGCGGGGAGCAGAGCAGGCAGAAGGAGTGAAGGACACTGCTGAGGGGAGCAGCGGGCGGCAGGAGAGGTCTGCGCGCCATGCGGGACCCTCCTCCAGTGGCCGGGGAGCAGCCGGGGATCGAACCGGTGCTGCAGAGGCTGCAGGCAGCTTCGCACCCGCTGCGCCACCGGGGAGGCCCTAAACCATTGTTTCTTAAGTAAAAAAAAAAAAAAAAATGTTAAACATGCGAATTGGCTCTGTGAGCCTCTACTCATAAAAGTTTATTGACTTCCTGGGCTCTTAGAACAAGAACCACACTGGCTTCAGCTCTAGCTTTCATCTCTCATTGTCGATCCCCTTGGTTTCCGGACTCCAGGACTCTGGCCTCTCCTCATCCTCAGAACCCAGGTTTTCTCACCTGCCTTGGGGCCTTTGCACTGGCTGTAGTCAGCCACTTCTCATGGGCTTTCTCCTCCTTCAGATCTCAGTTCAAATGTCACTCCTCAGGGAGGCCCTCCTTGGCATCCCCATCTAAATCTTTCCAGTGCACCGTGAGTCCCTGGGATCTGATCTATGATCTTATCTGATCTATGTTGTTCCTGCAGAACCCCCAGTCTTGTATGAAGGTGCTCAGCAAATAGGGCTCGAATGACTCACCCTGAAGACAATTCTCTCCAGGCACAGATGGAGGGGTCTATGGGCTAATCACCCTCATAGCTGCCCTTTATCAACACCCTCTAGGTGCTAGGCCCTGAGCCAAATTCTTTGCACATGGGTCACCTTCACTATCTCAAGGAGAGATCAGTGTCCCCACCTGTGGATGGAGTATTGATTTCCCTAGAACCATGAATACAAACCAAGGGCTGGCTACACTGGCAAGAAGTGTCCAAGGGGCTGGGAGGAAATATTGCACCTTCTGATACCCTGCTTCTATAGTGAGGAAACTGAAGGCCACAGGGGGAAAGAGACTTACCCAGAGTCACACAGCAGATGGGGCAGAACAAGGAAAGGCAGCCTGAGGGCACGACCTTTTTAGGAGATGTTCTGTTGATGTGTTGGCACGGGCCCTGCTGTAGTTTTAAGAACAGCGAGCGAATGAACGTGCTGTGGTTTAACTGCATTAGGATCTAGGTTGCCCCTTGGGGAGCCCTAGGCGGGTTAAAGCATGATAATTAAAAATATTAATAAAAGTCATGTGTGCCTCCCCGGTGGTACAGGGGTTAAATAAAGTCTCAGCGCTATGAAGCTATCACCAGCCACTGCAGCATGAGTTCCATCCACCAGCCAGGGAGCTGACCCACAGGGCAAATAGACCTCTCCTGACTGGCCACCTGCTCCCCTCAGCAGTGCATTTCAGTCAATCCACCTGGTCTGGTCCCCACTCTGTCTCTGGTGGTTCCTCTCACCCCCGCACCTCTGGCCTGTACCCCAGTTCTTGAATGCAAAAATAAATCTTAAAAAAATCAAATAAAAGTCATGCATTCAATATCTCTGAGCCAGGCATATTACACACATGGTTGTATGTCACCCCGGGGGTAGAGGTGTTCCTATTCCATCTTACAGATGAGGAAACTGACACTCAAGAGAGAAGTACTGACTTACCCTGGACCTCACAGCTAGTTATAGATCCAGAAACTGTGAGACGCGGTGCTAGTTAAACTGCAGTCTACGGTAGGTAGCAGGAGGGGGTGGAAGAGCAGCGGCAGCAGCAAAATAGCAGGACACTTTTGATGCGTTCCGGCGGCCACAAAGAGGCTGGCCTGAAGTCAGAATCCCAGAGCACACGCTTGAGAGGCTGTAAACTTTCCCAGCGGTGTTCAAACGGAGCTCACTTGCCCGTGGCACACACAAGCAGAGGCAACAGCAGACACCGGGGCTGCAGCTCCGGCTCCGGCTCCGGCTCCGGCTCCGAGCCGACAGCGCCACCTACCGGGCTCTGCCGGAGCTGCAGGCAGCCGGCGCGCAGGCGCGGGAGGGGTGGCCCGCTCGGGCCTAAACCCGCAGGTGCCAACCAGGGGAACCCCAGCAGGACCTGCCCAGCCAGGAGCCTGCCCAGCCAGTTAGTATTCCCAGTGGAAGGATGAGGAAACCGAGGCTCGGAGAGGTGCTGTGACTTGTGCGGCGCCACTCAGCTAGGCCAGGACTCCAGTACTTCACCGTGTCCCCATACACCCCACGCCGCATAAATGTACCGTGCAGTTTCACTTAGCAGTTACTACTTCAGCTTTCCTATGCTTCAGACAATAGCAATATTTTACAAGACTCCTAACCTGCGAGGTGGGTATCAGCAGCAGCCCCATGTAATGTATCAGGTAACCAAGGCATTTTTTACAGGAAACTGACCTTCAGTTGTCTATAGTACTAGAAAAATATTTTAATGGATTTGAACTACTGCTTAGTGAAGTTGAAAGAATCAATAAGTGAATGAGTCAACCCTTGTCAAACTTTGGGGTTCATTTGGGTTTCTGTGCACTATCAGGTTCCCCACACTTGGACAGGTGACTTCTCACAGTGGCACTGTTCTGGTAGGAAGGGGTGTGGGACACAGGCTGTCAGCTTGTCCAGAGGTGGGCACAGCCAATATGGAGTCTAATGTGTCACCCAGTCCTGGTTGGGCTACCCCAATGAGTCCTCTCACCCCACCTCCAGGGAGTTCAGTTGCTTCATCTGATAAGTGGGGCTCCTGATGCCCCATCTCAGAATGGGTGTGAAATGATGTATATGAAGTGCTTGAATAGGGTCTGGTATACAGCTGGTATACAGCTGGTGCTCAATGTGTTCCTCCCTCTCTGTCCGGATGGAATGTGGTGCCACTATTGACAGGATGAAATGGGAAGGCACGGATGCACTACTAGCTGTGTCTGGGGTGGAAAACTGCTAGTACTCACAGGGGCCCAGCAGGTACCAGGAGCGAAGGAGGCTTTCCTGGGAATACACTGACCTTCCACAAAGAAATCGCCTTCTCAGTTTCATTGTATTTTGTTTGAGAACAAAGAAAATCTTTTTTCAAGGAAGGTGCAAAGCCTTTTAATTTGTTGGCAGAATTTTCACATTTCTAGGAAGCCCAAAGGGGAAAAAACTAAAAAGCAATTAGAGCTTAGCTCAAGTGGCATTCCTACTATCAGCAAAATTAGAAAATACTATGAAATCTGACACAGCAAAGTTTAGTTCAGGTGTCCATCCCTTGGCCATACTAAACTGGATATGGAATTATGTACACGACCCTGGAAGATTTTCCATTATTTTCAGGTGAAGATCAAATGCCTCCCTTGGTAGCATGCCTCACACACACTGCCTGCTCTGGGTCAAGCCACTGGGTCTTTGCCTATGCCATGGAGTGTCCCCTGCCCCTCCTTTCTCAGACTCCCCCCAGCCCAATCTTCCATTCAGGTTCAGTGTACATCCCAGGATGTGGCCCTAGTCTCCCTCTGGGCACTGACCCCTTTACATTATCACTGTTGATTTACTGGTTCATCTTGTCCGCTAGACTACTAGCTATGTAGATTAGGACTGAAGTAAAATATTTACTTTACTAGATTTAGTTCTGTATCAGAAAAATCATCAGTCTATGATAAAGTGCAAATAACCACTGGTCCCAGGGTTAAGGAGGTGATAAGGGCTGGTGGAGACAGAGATAAAGTGTAATATACACCTGCCCACTCATTCTGTCCACTCTAGGGGTTAATCATCTCTTAGCGCCTGCCAGGAAGTTTGATCTTTCAAAAGCAGCTAGAAATCAGAAATCAAAGTGAAATTTTATGAATTTAGCAACCAGTTCTGTTTTTTTTTAAACCAGGAAGCCCAAAAAACAGGTCCCTAAGTTGTAAGCTCTGAACCAGGAAAACAAAAATCAAGTACCAAAACACAGAGATGTGATTCCAAAATAGATTTATTTATTACGGATTATTTATTTTCTGCATAAAAATTACCAATTGTTCCTCATTGGGTTTTTAACACACATCAATTCCTTTGGGGGTTGCTTTGTTCACCCCAACACTTTAAAAAATACAGCTCTGTTTAGCGCCAGGAAGGACAGTTAAGGCAGTGAGGCATTTTCTTGGGTGTCAGCAGCTGGAGGGGTTCATCCTCTCCCCCTCGAGAGAATACATGTGGTAGGTAGTATCTTAGGTTGGAAAAGCTGTCCCTGAAGAAGATAATTATGCGGAAAAATGCAAATACAGCCATCTATGGTCAATTATTTGTGCCTGATGGTTTTAAAATCACCCCCCCTTCCCATCAAAGGCTTGCTGGTTGGTTTCAGCTATTTTAAAAAACCGTCTGGCAAAAGACAGTAAGAAAGAGCAGACTGTGTAATGACAGTGCTGTGAGGTTGGGCTGTGCAACCACAGAACACACACCAGCTTGCTTTAAAAAAAAAAAAAATTCCGTAACAGCAGTCCTGTATCATTTCTAATCACACTCATCATGGTCCTTAAAATACCCAAAACTCCATTCAGGCAGCTCCTCGTCAGGACACGTGCATATTTTTAAAGTGAGGCACAGGACACCATTGCCCTGGGAAGGGGGAAAAACCCTAGGACTTGATTTATTAGAAACAGTAATTGATTTTACCACACTGAAATGAAGGTTTAGAGTCAGTCTGTGCTGTTGTGAAATTCGAAGGAGATTCGGATGGTTATTTATTGCTCTGTTAGAATAGACCCCAAAATGACTTTGAAAAACCAGCCCAGCCCAGAACGGGCCACTCTGGGGGCCGGGGCCGGCCGCCTGCTGGATTCACAGTGATTCGGGTCTGCCTGCTTCTGTGCGTGCTGTGGCCCTTCTACACCTTGTAGTTGAGCTCGGCATTCATCTTGGTGTACATCTCATAGATGACGTCGATGGTGGCCGTGAAGTTGACCAGGAAGAGGCGGGTTTTCTCCAGGCACTCCTCCTCCGTCACGTTCTGGCCCTTGGAGAGCGCCTTCAGGAAGTCGGACTTATAGGGAGCCGCATACAGCGCTGCCTTGAGACGGGGAGAGGGGAAGGCGGCACAGGGTTAGCGGGGCCGCCAGGCCAGCGACGGAGGGGTTCTGGGCAGGCCTTCCGGGAGGTGCGTGCTGGGCAGGGGTCTGTGCTGTTCGTGGTATGGGAAGGGGAAGGATAAGGGAGTTGTGGTTTCCCTTTTACCCCCGTGAGGGACAGCGGGGACGGACACCAGCTTTGGGGACAGACAGACCTGGGTTCAAATTCCAGCTTGTGCCGCCGACTAGCTGTGCGCCTTGAGCAAGTTACTTAGCCTCTCTGAGCCTCAGTTTCCTCATCTGTAAAATGGGAATCATAATGGCACCCACCAATTGGGGTTGCCTTTGTAAGGGTTGAGGAGCTTACAGAGTGTTCAGCACAGCACCAGGCACACAGTAGGTGCTCAGCCTGGATGACCCTCTTCCCTCAGGGTTCCCAGCTCTGGAAAAGGCCAAGGTCATCCTGGGGAAATCCATTTTGTGAAAAGGGGAGGTGACTGCTAATCTGTGCAGTGGCCTCTTTTATCCTTCAGGGGGCGACACTTCCCATTAAGTGTCAGGGAAGCCCTGACAGAATCAGAAATTTGCAGAATTTCAGAGCCAGGAGGAAAGATACAACTGGATAAAACACTTTGGCACGAGTTTGATAGTGTGAGGAAATCACAAATAATATCATTATGAATCAAAACAGCAGCTTTGATTTACTGAGTAAATCACGAGCCAGGCACTTAGACAGTTTAACGTATTTAACCTTCACAGTCACCCTTTGAGGCAGGGACAGTTAGACACCTTCTGAAAGATAAGGACACTGAAGCCCTTGGAGCTAGAATCTAAGACCCCCGCTTCTTACTGCGTGACCTTGAGCGAGACACTTAACCTCTCTGAGTGTCAGTTTTCCTCGTCTATGACAAGGGCCTGTGCATTTGTGCAGAGGACGATCTCGGAAGCCTGCCCTGGACCAGGCACACTGGACTTGTCCTCATCACTGAGAGCAACATGCTCCAGGGAGGGGCAGGGCCTTTGTGGCGTCCCACATCCCCAGGCTGTCTCCAGCTCTGCCAGGATGGATGGCCCAGAGGTGGCCATGTTTCCCACTTGGTGACCAGCCTCTCTTCCTGCTTGGACACAGACTGGCTCTCAACCCCACCTGACCACAATCTGCACTGTGAGAGCAGTTTCTGGATCCTGGTGCCATGGGAGTGGGTGGCAGGCAATGGAGACAAGGTAGCCATGGCACGGGGGTGAGATGAGGGGGCAGTGAGAGACATGATGGCTAGTGACAGCATGCAGGACACCCCGAGGCCTTCTTGACGTCTCCTGAGTAGGCCTCTCAGCCTGGCAGCTGTGGGGGCCTCAGGTAAAAAGTCCTGTTTCCAGGAGCCCTGGCCAATGTCACCCCAACACAAGGCCCCAGGCCCCTGTGCGCAAGTGTCCTTTCAGTAGATGCCTCCTGGCCAGTAGATTCCCTCCCTGCCCAGGGTAAAGGTTCAGTCTGAATCTGAGGGGGCGAATCAGCCATCCCCACACCAACCTGAGGTCCTGAGTCTCCACAGGGGTTTCTCTTATACCCTCCCTCAGGCCTCATAGCACCTGCACAAAAATACCAGGGAGTGTCTATGGCCCCAAAGGGGTCCCTCAGCACATCAGTTTGAGGCGGGCCCTTCCTGAGCCCAGTGGGCAGACATGGGTTCCCAGGAGCCACAGCTAAGAAGGGACAGAGCAAGGACGAACCCCACAAGCTGGTAGTCCTTCTGGGCCTGTGGGGCGGCTCACCTGGAAGATCTTCTGCACAATCCAGCCATGGTACTTCTTCAGGGCCATCTCATAGGCCTTGGTGGCATTGACGCGGATGAGGTTGGGGTGGTTCTCATCCCGCTCCCCATCGCAGATGCTCTGGAGGAAGACCTGGATGAAACGGAGGCCTCTGCGACCAGAGAGGAGATGGCTTTAGGGCTCTACACGCCACTGCCTCCTACTAGCCAGCACCCCCTGAGCATGGCGGACCCTGATGGATGCTGAGCTATGCATCGACCATGAGCCGGGGACTTGTATGCACTGAGTACGTGTTATTCCCCCGTTTTCTTCACACTTGGCTGACGGGCCCTGTTACCACTGCTCACCCCACCTTATTCCAAGCACCTCTCTACACTCGGCCTGCTGCTGGCTCCTGCCCATGTGCCTGCCAGGCAGGAAAGTCTATGTGGCCAGGATCTGGGCCTACCTTGCCCCTTCTTGTGGGCTGGCATGTGGCAGGCAGGCAAGAGCGTCAAAGGACTGAAGCCACAGTGCCGGCCCTCAAGGCCAGGCACACTGGACCACTGATGAGTCCGGCCCTATGCCAGGATGCCCCACCTCCACCACTGCCCTGAACCCCCATCTGCAGCCTCTGGTGGCTACTGGAGCCCTATGTCCAGGGCTAGAGTGATGCTTCAAGAGCCAGAAGGGTGTGGGGTATGGCAAGGTGAACAAATCAAAAATTAGATCACTGCCAGCACTTTAATGCACATGACCTCGTCTCTGCTCGCCTCGGCACGATCAAGCTTGGCGTGATCAGCCCATTTCAGAGAAGAAAACACTGAGGTCCTTGAAAGGCTCACCTGTCTCACCCTCCAGGTGGGCTCCTTCTTTTACTCTCACTCACTGCCCCCAGTGAGGACAGCGTACAACTACTGATAAAAGAGAATCCTGGGCCTCCCTGGTGGCTCAAGGGGTTAAAATGCAACCAATGAAGCTATCCGCAGCCACTGCAACATGAGTTCGATCCCTGGTTGGCCAGGGAGCAACCCACATGGCGCAGCAGACCTCTCCTGTCTCGCCCGCTGCTCCCCTCAGCAGTGTATTTCAGTCAGTCTGCCTGTTCTGCTCCCCACTCTGTCTCTGGTGAATCCACTCATCCCCGCATCTCTGGCCTGTACCCCAGCTCTTGTATGCATAAATAAATAAATCTTTAAAAAAAAGAAAAGAGAATGCTGTAGGTGGGAGGAGCAGCATGTGGTAGGCGAGTGCTAGAGCTCTCCAAGCCTCGGTGGCCTCATCTATGAGATGAGAACAACTGTATGTGGCTTCACATGCCTGCTACGAGGACAATATGATGTGCAATGTCAACATCCAGGTTCAAATCCCATATCAGGAATTTAGCCCAACATCCAGATTATGTGCCTGCCTGCTCTCTTGCTGTCCCCCTCCAGGGCCCCGCTGCTCCCCATCTCTACCGCTGCCCACAGGACACATCTGCACTACTAGGTAATACCGTCGCCTTAAGATGCTGGATTTCTGTCAAGAAGTCATCATAGGCCTCCCTGGTGGCCTACGGTTAAGTCTCAGTGTTATCACTGTGGCAGCCTCAGTGTGACCCCTGGCCAGGGAGCAGCAGACCTCTCCTGTCTCACGAACTGCTCCCCTCAGCACTGTATTTCAGTAGATCCACTTGTTCTTCTCCCCACTCCGTCTCTGGTGAATCCCCTCACCATCTGCACCTCTGGCCTACACCCCAGTTTTTCTGCGCAAAAATAAATAAAATCTTAAAAAAAAAAATCAGCTGTCATAATTACAAATCTACCTTGTGTGTGCCGTGACACCTCCATGCGGTGCACAGCCTGCACAACCGTACTCGGCCACTCAGTGATGGCTCTGCCCCTGGCACAAAACTTGGCCTCTAGAAGCCCCTGTGACCTCCTCTGAGAGACAGGGATAATCACCACACCGAACTCACAGCACATGAAATTCGCGCAGGGGTGTAGAGAGCGCACACAATGCCCAGTGCACGCGCTCGAACGCTGCACCTCTGACGGGACTGGAACCAGAAAGCACCACCAGGCAGACCTCGGCCCTGGGGATGCCCTTCCTCAGGCATTAACAAGCATCACATCAGAAGTGTCATGGAAGTGACCTTCCGTCCCAGTCAGAGCTGCGGGCGGGGTCCAACAGTCGCGCGCACATGCCACCCTGCCCCTCCCATCACCTTTTCAGCCACATCAGGGCCAGTGTGGCTCCCACTTTGGGCCACTCTGCTCCGTGCATCTCCTTCTCCACCTCCAGGATGTTCTGCAGGGTCCGGAACTTGGTTGGGTTGGTGTCATAGACGGCCTTGATTTTCTGAAATGGAGCACACGGGGGTTTCTATTTTCCCTTTTCCTTTTCACCCCCATAAACAGCCAGCCAGTGTGCTGGGTGGAGGAGCACCTCACGGGCACCTTCTCCTTCCCAGCACCACCAGGAGGAGCTGCAGCAGCAGCAGCATTTGCAGTTACCGTGACCGCCTTGATGCTCGCTAGAGAGGGCGCCTGTGAGCCGGGACCTGCAAGTGCTTTGTGGGCACTGTCTTATTTGATCATCACACCTCAATTTGCAGATGAAGACTGAGACTCGAGGGAAAACACGTGCTCAAGGTCACACAGCTGGTTCAGGTGGGGTGGCAGGGATTCCAGCACGTGTCTCAGTCTGCGTTCTCCAGCCACCACTGATGTACCTCAGACACCAAGTATCTGCACATAAGTAGCGACAGGCTCATAGGGTTCAAAGATACTCAGGAACAAAGGCTTTAGAGTTGGAGCCAAGCAGGATAGGTCTGAATCCACTTCTGCCACTTCCTTGCTGTGTGACCGCAGGTGAGCCCTTCAACCTCTCTGAGCCTCGGCCTCCTGGTCAGCCTCCATGTAATGCCAGGATGGGCACAGAGCAGGTTTTCTATGATCCGAGCAGATGGGTGAAGGAGGAGTCCTGGAGCCCTCGGAGGCTTTTGCAGACTTTTATTCAGATTTACAAGGTACACGGCAGCAGGGATGCCAGGGGCAGGGAGGCTGGCAGGCCAGCAAGTCTTCACTCTTTCTGGGCTCTCCAGCGTTCTCTCATGGTCTCTTTCTCTGCTGGTGCTATTCTTGTTCTCTTTTGCTCTCCTGCCCTGCTCTTCCTTTCGCTCTTTCTGCTCTGCTGGTGTCCCCATGACACTGCCCTTATAAGCCCAGTCTTAGCCCAGGTGTACCCACCTACATATGCCCACACCTTACCCCAGGTGCCCGCCATCAGGCATGCATTCAGGACCGCAGGGATCCATCATCCATCCTAATGGCAGGAGGGCAGAAAAGCCTGATACTTTACTTACCCTACACTCCACTTTCTCAAAATGGGGATAACAACAGAACCAGCTTCACAGGGCTGGTGGGATGAAGAAATGAGATAATGCAGGCACCTGTGACAGGCCCTAAGGCGTCTTCAAGGGCAGAGGGTCTGTGGAAAGGGGACGGATTCAAAAGTCCCAGCACTGGGGGAGAAGGGCCAGCCACCACATGTGGACTTTGGAGTCTACTTCTCATTTGATGGATAAAAATACTCCAATATGTTCCTTCTCAGGGTCAACCCAGCAGACTGCAGTCGCCATCAGGCTGTGACTAGATGGCAAGGCTACAAAGCAGGCCCAAGAACCTGAGCACTGTGTCAGTCAAGCCCAAGCCTCTTCCCCAGGTTTCTTTCCTGTTCCCTTGCCTGGAGAGGTTACAAAGGGGGAGCTGGGTGCTGGTAACCAGGTGGGCTTCAGTTTCTCATGTGGCTGCAGGGCCCAGCACTTACCGTGATGTTGCCACTTATGTCTGCCTTGATGGGTGTGAACACTGGGGACCCGAGGCAATCTGGAGACAAAACAAGAAGAGAGATTTAGGCTCCCAACACGAGGCATGGAGATCTGTGGTCAGGAGGGACGTCACTCAGTGTGGTTAGGGAAAGGTTGAGCTGTTTATAATTGTTATTATTTTTTTAAATTTATTTATTTATGCATACAAGAGCTGGGGTACAGGCCAGGGATGCAGGAGGTGAGAGGATTCACCAGAGACAGAGTGAGGAAAAGAACAGGCAGACTGACTGAAACACACTGCTGAGGGGAGCAGTGGGCGAGGCAGGAGAGGTCTGCTGTGCCATGTGGGTTGCTCCCTGGCCGGCTGGGGATCAAACTCATGCTGCAGAAGCTGCAGATTGCTTCATAGTGCATTGCTTAACCCCTTGCACCACCAGGGAGACCCTTGTTTATAAGTATTAAAAGGCTCATGGGAAAGTAAATATGCAGTGTTGAGCTCAAGGTGAAACCAGTGTCCTACTGCAGGCCTTGTCAGAGCCTTGAGTGTGCCCGGAATATCTATAGGGCAAATCCTTTTACCCATAGCACCTCTTCCCCCTCAAACATGCTGTCTGGTAGAACTTTCCGTGATGACAGGAATGTTCTGCACCCATGCTGTCCAACACACATGGTCACAGGTCCCTTGCAATAAAATAAATCTTAAATTTTGAATTTATTTAAAGCCTTGTGTCGTGGTGTCTCCATGAGGGAGGCACAATGTCCTATACCATCTAGCGAAGGCCCTGAGACCCAGCTGGGCCAACAAGGCGGATCACCACTAACTGACCGGCTGGTCAGGAGGACAACTGAGTTGGGAGGAGAGGGATGGGATTTCTAAAGATGCCTTCGCGTGCATTCTCTCAGCTCATGAGAAAGAAATGAGTTTAAGACCCAGAGGTCCCATGGTTCTGAGACTCAGCCTAAATGCCCAGGGGACACCCACAAGGGGTCACAGTCACTTAACAAGGGACTAAAAGTCAGCTTTAAGATGGGATCTGGGGGGCAGAGCACAAGGAGCTTGGTCTCAACACTCTACTCTGCATGCGCTGGCTCTGTGAGCTGGGGCACCCCTTCAGCCCTGTTCCTCGGGGTTTCCCCTCTAGCCAAAGGCAGCAGGTTTGATCACAGAGGTGCCCCAATCTGACTTGACATTTCTAAGATATACCTTTTGTTTGTCTCTGGAATCAGAATGCTCTTATCTGGAGGTGTTTTTCCTTTCTCGGTGGTTCATAAAACAAAAGGGGCACCTTAAAATAGGTGACAACTCGAGTTGATGGAACGTGGACCTGAAGTTGGCAGTGCCTGGAACTCTGGGGCGCCATGAGCAGCGTGTGGCCTGGGGAAACATGAGCAGCGTGTGGCCTGCCACCGTCCATGCCTTCCTCTGTGACCCCGTTGGCAAGCTGTCATAGGGAGCGCCTTGCCAATGGCAGGACAGAGCAAGCGTGAGGGAGCGGCCAGAATAGCTCAAAGTGGAAGGCCCCCTCAGAGCCTGAGGACAGACAACTGGGCTTCCTGACACCTCCTCACTGTCCTCAGTGCTGAGTCTAGATTCCCATCACGCCCGATACAGCCCCAAAGAGACCAGGACCCCGAGGCAGGTCAGAACTGGATACCAAACCCACGGGAGGAACGTCAGTGCCAGCTTCCCCTCACCCAAGGGCTAGGCAGGGGCCTTGGTGTGTGCACCACCTGACCACTCAGAAGTAGAGGGCCAGGGGAGGGATATCTGTAGGCTGAATTCCACCCAAGGTGACCCAGCACACCTGCCTGGCCATCTGGAACGTTCTAATTGCAGCTGTTAAAAGAGGTACATGGGGAAATAGCATTCGAATTTTTAAATGCTATGCCCAGTAACCCAAGGAAAGAAAGTGGGTTAGGGATCCCAGCAGATGGGGTTTGCATCCTGACCCAGTTCACTCCCCAGGTGAGCACGTCTCCCCTCTGCATGCCTCCATTTCTTCACCTGCCATACGTGGAAGTAACAACACTTGTTTCACAGGATGGTTATAGAAATTAAAAAGAATGCATTGTTGTACTAGCAGCCAGCATTTGCTAAAATTGATGAGAATCCTAATTCTTTCATAGTCTCTTTAAAAATCTATTTTATTATTTTTAAAATTTATTTTATTTATTTATACATACAAGATCTAGAGTATAGGCCAGAGGTGTGTGTGTGGCGGGGTGGGGGAGAGGATTCACCAGAGACAGAGTGGGGAGCAGAACAGGCAGATCTACTGAAATAAACTGCTGAGGGGAGCAGCGGGCAGACAGGAGAGGTCTGCTGTGCCAAGTATGGGTTAGTCCCTGGCCAGGGATAGAACTCACGCTGCAGTGGCTGGTGATAGCTTGATAGTGCTGAGACTTTAACAGCTGCACCACCACTGAGGCCCAAAATCTATATTAATTAAATAAAAATACATACCTTTTAAATTTGGCAGAGGGCCCTGCACTCTGGACACTCACTAAATGGATTTTGATCATTCACCACTTCCCATCCTGACTCGCCCCAGGCTCCAAGGTCCCCAGAACCTCTGCTGAGTGGGAGCCACATTTGGCCCGTGCCCCCTGCCACATCTGCTTTCCTCCCTCCTCGGGCAGAAACCCTGGGCATATTTCCCTGCTAGACAGCACCTCCATCCACTTTCTCATAGCGCAGTCTGACCACTCCCATGCTCTGGGCACCCTCCAGCCATGAGGGCAGAGAACATGGGGAGGGCTGGGCCTCGGTTTCCCTGTCTGTAAAATGAGAACACCACCCTGGGCGTCCGCTGATGGGTCCTTGTGACAGGGAGCGTTGTCATGGGTGGAGGGAGGTGCAGGGCTGGCCAGATTTCCTTGCTGATGGGGCCGATTTTCAAGTCAAGGCCTCCCGGGAGAGGTGTGATGCACCAGGGCTTAGCAACAGACTGTCAACAGACCGTCGTCAACTGGGGAAGGTTGATTAGCTTCTCTCTAAACACGCAAAGTAGAGATGTGGGGAAATGTGACCTGGGCTCTGGAGATGCTCTAGGGAGTTCCAGTGGCCCTGCCCTGGTGGCTGGGGGAGAGGCTCTGTTTGGAGATCTCCTGACAGTGTGATGTGAGGCGGAAGCCACCATGGTTGGCAGGAGTCAGGCCGGGTGGCACTTATCGCGGGCTAGGGCCACCACAGGGGCACAGAGCTTGCTCAACAGCAGGGTAGGAAAGTGGGGCCTAGAGTGTATTTCTGGAGCTGGGGGCAGAACAGAAGAAGAGAGAGGAGGCAACAGGTCCAGAAAAGCCAAGTGACTTGCCCAGGGTCACACAGCGAGAGTCCAGCACTCAGACACAAGTACAGAGCAAAGGCTGGTTTTAGGATGCCTTCACCTTTGTTTTTTTTTTTAATAGAGGCATGTTTTATTTATTTATTTGTTTGTTTGTTTTGTTTATACAAGCACTGGGTACAGTCAGAAGCGCGGGAGGGTGAGAGAATTCACCAGGGCCAGAGGGGGGAGCAGAGCAGGCAGAAGGACCGAAGTACACTGCTGAGGGGAGCAGCGGGCGGCAGGAGAGTTCTGCGCGCCATGTGGGACCCTCCAGCCGGGGATCGAACCGGCGCCGCAGAGGCTGCGGGCAGCTTCGCAACCCAACGCTCAACCACTGAGCCACCGGGGAGGCCCAGGATGCCTTCACCTTTGGTGTGAAGTCAACAAAAAGGAGAGGACTCTGACAGGAAAGCCAGAAGAAGATTTTAACCCTCAAGCACATGGTGGCCTTTCTAATCATTTCAACTCCAGCCAGAGCTGCTCCAGGTAGAGTGACTGTGCTTCTAGCAGCTAATCCAGCCTCACCTTTCCTACAGAATGCCACCATGCCCCCAATTCACCTTTCCTGTTTTACCAGTTTTGCATTTACCCCAAACTTGTTTTTTCAGTGTCAGCAAACAAGTTCTTTAAAATGCCATCCAGAACCCAATTGCCAGGAGTGAGCATGGATGGTTTTCCAGTCCATCATCAGACCTCCAAGGAGAATGGAAGTTGTTTCAAAAACAAACAAAAAAGAAAAAGAAAAATCAGACACAAGCTTACCATTTTATTTCATAGAACAGACCCTAATTGGCAGAGTCTAAATACAGTCAAGCCTGACCCAATGTGCTGGTTCTAAGCACCAGGTAAGGACACATGGTAAATGCCCCTCAGTGTAAAGTAGAAGGTTATCTCTGCATGCCGCTCAACCCAGAAGGCATAAGGAAGAGATCAGCAATCTGATTACTAAAACCAAAAACTTCCTAAATGGGGCAGGAGTGAATTAATGGTGAGGGGGATTGATTTGGGTAACAAATATCATGGACAAAAGACTTATCCCTAATAGGTACAGTGCTCTTGCAGATCAGTAAGAAAAAAACTCTCTAGAAAAATGGGACAATTCAAAGAAATAAAAGGACATAATCTCAATAATAAAAAGACAATGCAATTAAAACAGTGAAATATTTTCCATCTGTCAAGTTTTAAGAATGCACCAACCTTCTCTAGCTCAACCATTCTGGATGGAACCCATCAAAATGTAACACAAATGTCCCTGCTTTTGTACAGCAAGCTACTCCTAGATTTCTACAGAGGGTCATTTTAGAAAATAAGCATTATGATAAAGGCATGGTTCAGTAACATCACAGGGACTCCAGCTCTTAACTGAATGGCTTTCTATGGTGCATTTTCAAACTTTTAGGGCAGCTTCATGTTGTTTTTTTTTAAAAAAAAAAAAAAAAAACCCTCTTGACAGGTGACAGTCACATTCTCCTGCTTTCTCTGCAGTCAGTGCTTTCACTCTGCTAGATACCTGGAAAACAACCAACTGGGTCAGCATCACCTGTAAAATAAGAGGAGCCAGGGACCAAGCACCACTGTGTGCCTGACCTCTGTGACCATCTGGCTACACTTGGGGCAGGGTCTCTGTCAGAGTTTGGAGGCAAGAGCAGAATTACCCAACAGCCAGCTTGTCACCAAATACCACACAGAATCAGACTCATTTCCTCTTTTTCTGGCCTCCACATGGTTGGAA